AGTTCTCCCACTGTAGACACAGCTGATTCTCACAGCCAATTGGTCAATTCCTCCCAGTGATACCTATAACAATCAAGGCTTAACTACAACAAGACTGTGCACACAGCCCACAAGGGGGTGTACCAAGAGTGTCCACCTCAGGTAATTGGGGAGGCTGAGCCCCTGGGCCCTATAAGACACCTAGCACACAAAACCACTCTACCAACACAAGGAACCAGCCAAAATGTGGAGACAAAGAAACAGGTCACAAATGACAGAAATGGAGGAAAGCAAACTACTGGATATAGAGTTCAAAACCACAGTTATAAGGTTTTTCTTGCCATCTTCTGTGTTGCTTAGTTTGTGTGAGAATTAGGAAATGTCCACATGGCTCTGCCTTCAGGGCAGTTATAGCCAGAGCATCCATCCTCAGAAACCTCTAGAAACCTCTAAGAAATTTAGTGAGACCCTCAAGGATATGAAAAAGGACCAACTATAAATTAAGCATACACTGACTGAAATAAAGAATAATATACAGAGATCCAACAGCAGACTAGAGGACCGCAAGAATCAAGTCAAAGATTTGAAATAAAAAGAAGCAAAAAACACCCAGCTGGAAAAGCAAAAACAATCCCAAAATATGAACATAGTGTAAGGAACCTCTGGGACAACTTTAAGCGTACCAACATCCGAATTATGGGGGTGCCAGAAGAAGAGAGAGAGAAAGATATTGAAAACCTATTTGAAGAAATAATGACAGGAAACTTCTCCTACCTGGTGAAAAAAAACAGACTTACAAGTCTGAAAAGCACAGCGAGTCCTAAACAAGAAGAACCCAATGAGGCCCATACCAAGACACATCATAATTACAAGGCCAAAGATTAAAGACAAGGAGAGAATCTTAAAAGCAGCAAGAGGAAAAGTCAGTTACCTACAAGGGAGAAGCAGTAAATAGCAAGAACCTACAACCAAGATTACTCTACCCAGCAAAGCTATCTTTTAGAATTGAAGGTCAGATAAAGAGCTTCACAGATAAGAAAAAGCTAAAGGAGTTTATCACCACCAAACCAGTATTATATGAAATGCTGAAGGGTATTTTTTAAGAAGAGGAGGAAGAAGAAAAAGGTAAAGATAAAAATTATGAACACCAAAGTAACAAGAAATACATATCTATCAACAAGCGAATCTAAAAATTAAGTGAATAAAAAATCTGATGAACAGAATAAACTGCTGAATATAATAGAATCAGGGGCATAGAAAGGGAGTGGACTGACAATTCTTGGGGGAAAAGGGGTGTGGGGAGTGTGGAAAGAGACTGGACAAAAATCATACACCTATGGAGGAGGAAGGGGGGGAGGGCGGGGAGTAAGGGCAGAGGGTGGGGTGAGAACCAGGTGGAGGGGAGCTATGGGGGGAAAAAAGAGGAACAACTGTAATAATCTGAACAATAAAGATTTATTAAGAAAAAAACTTAATGGAAAGATATTATATTCACTGATAGGAATATTATTGCCATAAAGATTTAATTTTCCTTTACATTGATCAACAGAATCAATGTAATTCCAATTCCCAAAAAGTTTTGGGTATAGAGGGAAAGAAAAGGTCTAAGAATAGATAATTTTGAAAAAGAGCAAGGTGCTGTAATACCAAATATCAAAGTTACTAAAAATCTATAGATAATAAGACTGTGAGGTACTGGTGTAAGAAAAGACAAATAGACCAATAAAGTAGAAGAGAGTGCCCAGAAACAAACCCACATATTACCTGGAAATTTAGGTATATGATAAGTTAGACTTGTAGACTGTGGAGGAAACTATTCGTAAGTGCTGCTAGGTTGCCTGCTTGTCCAAAGTATCCCTAAGCTTTCGCCCTACACAAAAATGTAGCTTAAAGACATAAATGTGCAAAACAAAGTTAAATCTTTGTTAAGAAAATAGAGATCAGTCTTATATCCTTCTGTAGGAAGTGATTTTTTAAACAAGGGAATAACAAACATACATCATAAAAAGATATTTAAAATTCATTATATTAAAATTACCAATCTCAAAAAGGTAAAAAGGATAGGTCACAGATTGGTAGGAAATATTACATGTATAAAAAAATTAATTTCAAAAACATAGAAAGAACATTCATAATCCAATTTTTAGAATGATTCTAAGATAAAAATAGGCAATTCACAAAAGAAATGTGATCAGTAAATATATTTGTAATTAGGGTAATGGAAAACAAAGTGTAAAGAGACCATTTTATATCTACCCAATTGTCAAAATTTGAAGTTTGAAGTATTATTGTTAGTGATGATGTGGAGTGGGAAAAATCATGCAAATTTCTTGCTAATAATACAATCACTTTGGAAAATAATTGGGAAGTATCTAGTTAAATGAACATATTCTATGGGAGAAATTCCATTCAGTTGTAAAACTTTCACATATATATAAAACAGGTAATGTTCAATACCATTTATTCACAGTGGCATTTCTTGTAATATAAAATAAAAAGTTGAAACATTCTGTCCTTCAAAAGGAAAATGGATAAATTATGTTATAATCCAGTGGTGGCGAACCTTTTGAGCTTGGCATGGCAGCATTTTGAAACACCCTAACTTAACTCTGGTGCCGTGTCACATATAGAAATTTTTTGATATTTGCAACCATCGTAAAACAAAGACTTATATTTTTGATATTTATTTTATATATTTAAATGCCATTTAACAAAGAAAAATCAACCAAAAAAATGAGTTCACGCGTCACCTCTGACACACATGTCATAGGTTCGCCATCACTGTTATAGTCATTTAATAAGATACTATACAGCAGTACGAATGAATGGGAGAAAGCTACTAGTACAGTGGTTCTCAACATTCTGGCCCTTTAAATACAGTTCCTCATGTTGTGACCCCAACCATAAAATTATTTTCGTTGCTACTTCATAACTGCACTTTTGCTACTGTTATGAATCGTAATGTAAATATCTCATATGCAGGGTGGTCTTAAGCGACCCCTGTGAAAAGGTCATTTGATCGCCAAAGGGGTCGTGACCCACAGGTTGAGAACCGCTGTACTAGTATATACCTATCAACATAAACAAATCTCACAAATATACTACTGAGCAAAACTAAATTATAGTAGAGTTCTTTCACTTTATAATTTATATAAGGTGGAGCAAAAGCAGGTTTACAGTTGCTTGTATGGAAAATAATACAATAATCTATAATAATAAAAGCATAATATGCTAATTAGATCAGCTGTGAGGGAAGCCCAGATCCCAGGTGCCTGCTGGTGGCCGGAGGGAAGCCTGGGTCCAGACAGCTGGAGGGAAGCCAGTGCCGGCAGCCAGGAGAAAGATGGCCTACTCTTGCACAAATTTCGTGCATCGGGCCTCTAGTTAATGAATAATACAAGAATAAACTACCTCAAGTACTCAACAACTGTAAACCTACTTTTACCCTGGGTAGCCTTAAAATGTGTCAAAATGCTATAAATTTAATCCTATACACATATCCTAAATAATAAAAGGGTAATATGCAAATGGGCTCCCAGGCTGCCAGAGGGATGTCTGACTGCCAGCTTAGGCCCAATCCCCCCCCGGGGAGCAGGTGGTCATCCCCCAAGGGGTCACAGACTGCGAGAGGGCACAGGCCGGGCTGAGGGACCCCTCCGAGTGCACAAATTTTTGTGCACCGGGCCTCTAGTGAATAAATATACATATGCAGCAAAAGAATAGAGCAGTAGTGCCCTGGCCAGTGTTGCTCAATCGCTAACATGTCCCCTGAGCACTGAAGGGTGTAGGGTTCAATCCCCCATCAAGGGCACATATGGGTTGCAGGTTTGATCCCCAGCCTCAATTGGGGCTAATGCTAGAGGCAACTAATCGATGTGTGATATTTCTCTCTATCTCTCACCCCATCCCTCCCTCTCTTAAAAATCAATGGAAAAAATATCCTCGAGTGAGGATTAACCAAAACAAAGAATAGAGCAGTGATTTTCAACCGGTGTGCCCCAAGAGCTTTTAAAATATGCAATGACTGACAAAAAAAAGGGTCACTGACTTTTTCCCCCTTAGACTGTCAAATAAAAAACTGACAATAGCCAACACAACAATAACTGTCTGGTGTGAATGAATCAAAATTATACCTTTTTTTCGGTCAGATCAGCAAAAAATATATTTTTTGGCATGCCGCAGAATTTTAATAATTACTTTATGTGTGCCATGAGAGGCAAAAGGTTGAAAAATCGCTGGACTAGAGAGATGCATAGGAAGGAAACCACAAACAGCATAGCGGTTACTATAATGAGGGGAAGAACATGTTTTATTTTTTAAGCATGGACACATGTATTATTTTTTTATTGTTGCATATTTAAGTATTATATAATAAATTTAAAAATAAAAAGCAATAAAAGGATCTGCTATAGAGACCAGTCAGTAAGCCCTGGAGAAGAACTAAGTTTCAAAGGTAAAAATCAGAAGACCATAAAAGCGAGTCAGTAGATTTTTGAAAAGCCAGGGGAGAACCTGCTTGAAAATGTCATCAGGACACTGTTATAATTCTTTACCTGTCTCTTATATGTCTCAAGTTGACTTCGAGCCGCATTGGCTTTTCTTAACTCTTCCTCTAGACTGACAGTGTTCTGCATATACATAGTATTCTTCTCTTCTAAGAGTTTAACCTGCCGTCTCAAATCACCAAGGTCTTCTAGCTTCTTTTTATATGATTCCACTTGGCCCTCTAGTTTAGACACTTTATCAGAAGAATGTCTAGAATAAGATGGGAAATCAGAAACACATTCACAGTTATATAGCTATTTTAGATAGTGCTAAAACAAGAGGGATTGTGAGATAATAACACATTCTAACCAAATTATAAGATCAAAGATAATTCCAGGTTAATTTTTCTGCTCAGGTTAAAAAATATAACCAAATTACAGCAAAAATTGTAATGACAAATGTTATACAATTTAAGGAAAGCAAATCTGTGTGTAGCAGGGGGTAGAAGGGTTGGGGGTGTAGCCAGCAGACACACATGCAGTGGTAGAAAAAGCAAAATAAGCTGTGCAGTGTCCATATAAGTTGGCGATTAGAACAGCTGTTTCAGTGTAGTAGTTGGGGCAGATGGGGACAAATTTTAGGGGATTAAGGAGAGAACACAAATTTTACCCTGTATAATCTAAATTTGTTCCTGGAGGGAAGGAGAGAGTAATAAGTCTCTCCCTTTTTCTAAGATGAGAGAGACCTAAATGCATATATGCTAAGGAGGAAGATTCAAATGTGAAGAGAAATGATTATTCATGTAACACAGTCCCTGTGTAAGCAAGAAGCATTGAGACCCAGAACACTGAAGAAGAAATTAGCACTGGACAGGAGGAAGAATAACAAGTCTATCTTCTAGAAGCAGAAAAGAAAAGATTAGTGCGAATGCAGGGAATTCAGGAGGTGCAGGAGATATAGGACATGGAGAGTTCCACAGTTCATGGCCTCTTTCCTCTATGTAGCAGGAGACAATGTCATCCATTGAACGTAAGGATGGGTGAGGTGGGGTGCGATAGGCATGCAGGTGAGAAGAGTTATGAAAATATGTCATACCTAGAAGAGAAATGGGAGACAGCCATCTACTGATGAGCAGCAGACTGGTGGACCAGTGGTAAGAACCCAGTGAAGAGTAAGCTTATTAATTTGTAGTAGGACAAAACTGTATCACTGTGTGAATTTCTCTATTTGTTCTCAGTATTCAGAGCAAAAGTGTAAAATATAAGTGGTTAGAATGATCTAACAGAGGATAGATTATACAAGAATGGCAAAGGTGGAAAAATGAAGTGATAGGGAGTGAGGTGCCTAGTGAGCAAATAGTTGAAGTGAAGATAAAAAGGTCCATTAAGGAGATGAAGCCTTGTGAGATATGACAGTATTTGAGAAAAAGGAAGACCAAGTGACTGCAGGACTCAAAATTAAAGAAAAGGAGTAGTAATAAGAAAAGCTCCAGAGATACACAAGTAAAAAGTAATGGTCAGAGATTAACTTCTATTGAGAAACATTCATACAGCACTTATTTGCCAGACTGTTCCAAGTGTTTACAAATATAAACTCACCTAACTCCACATATAAATCTGAGGTATGTGTGTGTATTATTTTCATGTTACAGATGAGAAAATGGTTACATGGAAGTTAAATAAATGATGGCACTGAGATCTAAATCCAGGTTGGCCCACCTGTTGAACATCCTACTATGCCCAGAGATCCTAGAGCTTGTAACATTGGTGGAAGAACTGTTTCTGGGTGATGAGAGGTCTGGCACTGTACAAAGATGGTAAGATTGTTTACCTAAGAACATCTATTTCATCTTTTAGAGACTGAGCATCATCTGCCAAAGTGGTTAGTTCATCATTCTGTTGCCGAAGTTCAGAGATTTCCTTTTCTAACTCTTCACAGCGTATTCGATAATCATCTTTGGCTGCTTCTAGTCTGTAACCAAAACAAAATAAACCAAGAGAGTACTATTTACTGTCTAATAAATCTCCTTAGTACAGTAAACAGAAATAAAAAGCATGAGGACAAACTTTTCCTGAATTTGTCTCCTACTTTTGTAACCATGAACTATAATTCTAAGTTTTCATTATCCTAAAAAATGGATTCCAATGTTCCAAGGCTAGTGAAAAGATAAAAACTAATTACCGTTCCTTTATTTAGAAATTTAGACATCAAGTAATACTTGTCAAAATACAGCAGATGTAATTTATTTAAATTTTTAATTATAAAATTTATATTCTTTGTTGAAAATTTACAGAATACAGAAAAGCAAAAAATAGAAAAATCATGTGTTAACCTAAATAGACAACCACTATTAACAATTTTATAGTACACCCTCCAGTCTTATTTCTGTTCAGGTCTTTTTATCTCCCCAAATGTGGATAATACTGTTTTTATTTCTTAATTTGTTTTACTTAATATAAATCCCTCATTCAAATTTATAAGATTCTTTGTCTCTAATGTCACAAATATTTATCATTATTTACTTTTAATAATCTTTATGTATTTAATGTACTGAAATTCTTAGTTGGTTTTTATGTAATTCAATTGATAAATCTTATACTACATAGTTTCCACTTTTACTACATGATTAGAAAGGTTTTTGTCATTTTAATCCTATATGGTCTGTTAATATTTATATGGTTTCATTTTTAACATTAAAATTCTCAATTTCCCTGGAATTCATTTTGGTATATGATGTAATGTAAGAATCTAACTTTTCCTTCCAAATATTTACCAACTGTCCCCAAACCATTTAACAAATAATTTAACCTTTCTCTATTGATTAGATAAATACCACCTTTATCATGTTATACACTCTTTACATACACTTGGGTTTCTGGATCTTCATTTGTGTTATTGGTTTGTTTGTAACTTGCTGTAGCAGTACCAAGCTATTTTACTTAGTATAGGTTTATAACATATTTCAACATTGAATATGGGAAATATTCCCTCGTTAAACTTTGTTCTCACATGTTCTGGGAATCTCTTGATCATTAACACTTCTACATAAAATTCAAATTGGAATCAAGTTCAAATTACGTAACAATTTAACAGAAAAAGACATTCTTACAAAACTCCATGAAAAACATGTTATCTCTCTCCATATATTAAAATATTATTAATGTATAATTTACAAGTTTTTGTCTTATGAGTCCCTAATATTACAGTCGTCCCCACTTATCCATGGTGGATACATTCCAAGACCCTGAAACTGAATAGTACCAAAACCTAAACTAGTACATACCATGTTATTTCCTATGCATACATACCTTTTCACTTAAAGGAAACACTTTCAGCTTTTCTTTGGCATATCCCAATTGCCAGCATCACTACTGTTGCATTTCGGGGCCATTATTAAGTAAAATAAGGGTTACCTGAACACAAGCACTGCAATACTGCGACAGCCGATCTGATAACTGAGATGCCTGCTAAGTGAGTAATGGGTGGGTAGTGTACACAGGGTGGACACACTGAACAAAGGGATGATTCATGTCCCAGGTAGCATCCTACTACTCAGAATAGTTTGCAATTTAGAAGTGATTAATTACTTATTTCTGGAATTTTCCTTTAACATTTTTGGACTGCTGCTGACCGTGGGTAACTGCAACTGCAGAAAGTGAAACAGTGGATAAGATGGGACTATTGTACTTTAAAAATTTTTTTAAGTACTTACTATATAGAAGTTTTTCCTGATGATATCAACTAGTTATTGCTAGAAAAGCTTATGATCAATGCAAACTTCTTACAGTTACTTCTCCCCATTAAATGTCTATTGCTTCTAAGAACTATTCAGTTGATACTCTTATCTGTTCTAGGTAGACAAACATAAAACCTACAAACGGTTTGGCTTTCCAATATTTTCATCTCACTTCTTTCTCTTTATATTATTATTATTTTTTAAAAAAATATTTTTTTTTATTGATTTCAAGGAAGAAGGTAGAGGGAGAGAGAGAGAGAGAGAAACATCAATGATGAGAGAGAATCATTGATTGGCTGCCTCCTGCACACTCCCTAATGGGGACTGAGCCCACAGCCCGGGCATGTGCCCTTGACTGGAATCGAACCTGGGACCCTTCAGTCTGCGTGCTGACACTCTATCCACTGAGCCAAACCAGCTAGGGCTCACTTCTATCTCTACAAAAGTAATAACAGCTAAACCTTATATAGCATCTCTGTGCCAGGCAATGTTCTCAGTACTTTACATATATTAATTCATTTAATATTCCTTTGAAATTCTAGAAAGTAGATAATACTATTAGACCATCTTATGGTAGACAGATATGCCCAAGTCTACATAGCTAGTAAGTGGCAAAGCCAAGTTTTTTTTAAATGTCTAGTTAAAAGTCAAATAAATTAATATTCATCCTATTATATCAGACTATAAAGAATAATAAAAAATACTAAGATATACTGTATTGATAAAACATTTGAATTATTAAAATACTTGAAAACACAATACTGTAGTATGTATTCTGAAACTGTTTCCTTTATAATAAAAATGTAAGGCAATTCTAAATACCACTTTCCCAATACCATACTTTAAAACCTGGGCACAATTTGAGACTTCTGTCCAAGATGGCGGCACAGAAAGACACTGAACACACCCCTTCCCATAAACCCATTGAATTTACACTTACAGAGCAATTCCCCCTGAAGAACGAAGGGCAAGTGAACAGCTTCTGCACAGCAAATGAGAAAAAGGGAAAG